AAAACTTTTATTCGAAATGGAAGTAAGCTCAACAATTATGAAACAATAGATTCCTCAGACCCTAACTTTTCTTTGCATAGCTAACATTCTGGTTAAATCGGTCAAGTTCTTTTCCTTTTTTTTCCCTGCTCCTCCGTGCTCTGCGTTGTTTAGAATGTTATATTTAGCGCCATCTTTCATTGATTGTCTTTCTATTGTCAGCTTCCTCATACTGTATTCGGCCGTTTCAAAATAGGACAATTGAGATAGTCCACATCTTATTTATCCTCTAACTATTGACTTTTATAAATATTTGACCATAGTTCATACGGCTTAGATTATCCTACATAAAATACTTAGTAGTTTGCTTCTTCTGAATACTAAATAACGTAAAAATCGCTATTACCATGCGATAAGTGAAGGAATTGAGCCTATTTAAATAGTACACTAATCTTAACCAAGAGATTTCATATGTTTAAGGTAATCTAAATTCACAAAAATATGAAAAACGCACAGTTATCACAAAATTTTTACTTTAATTCTTTATTTTTAATGTTACTGTCATGACAATAAACATACAATTCTTTATGTTTGGAAGCAACAAATCGAGTAGTTTCTTGTAAATACCAGATTTAACTGTTCATACTTCTATTCCAGTGTTTGCAGGCTAGATAGAACTCGTTTAAAAATAATATATATATACATTTCACGTTGAACTTATATGAGAGTAATTCGAATAAAAGTTTCTTCTTTGGGTATATCATTTAGAGTGTATACATATGGATGTGCATAGTATCTAGTGTAATGACCTCAAAGAAATTTTAAATTTTCTGCAGGAAATTGTATTCCTATACGCGAAGAAAAGAATTATATAAATTAAAAAAAACGTTTCAATAAAAGTAATCTGGACTTTAAAGACAAGTTTGTCTAGATGTCGCTGGCACCTATGACAAAATTTGTCTAAAAATATTCGCCGTTAGCTGCTTCCGATTCTAGGTTATAACACAAATGAAGAATAAGTATTAAGGTATAGGTTTAATAAAAGAATTTTACGTGAATGCCTTAATTAGAAAGATCCGAATTAAATAATCCCTTAAATACTCTTTAATAGATAGAGCAGATGTTAAAGACTCAGAGTTAAAATAAAAATTAATTATAATTGGGGCAAAGACAATTCGTTTAAGGCAAAATAAGAGTTTTTAGGCGTTGTGGAGCTGCCCTGGGTTTATGCCACAAAGCCTTAAGATACAAAAATAGTTTCATTGACCAAATAAAAGAGTTTACATAGATGAACAAGATAAGGCAGATCTTGTGAACAAAATGGACGGTATGTATAACTGTTACATAGATTAAATCAACGAAAAGAAAATAAAAAATGGCTTTTGTCACACAGGTTCTTTTACAATAAAGTTACTACCGTTCTGATCAATATTCCACTTATTTCTTCTGTTTTCTCGTTCATCACCCATTTCTCTATTTATATTCTTCATAGGACAGTTCTGAAAATCCGTACGCATTTCTTTATTCGTGCTTGCATACTGTCCAGTATTTTGGTTAGTTGGTACAGAGCCGGATGGAATCTGATTTGGTCCAACTTTAAAAACAATAGTGTATGGACTGTTTCTTATATGTTCACCCAGGTAAAATACATTTACAGTATGAGGAATAATAGCGGTAATAGGAAAGCTTAAGGTATACGTCCCATTTTTGTTATCATGCAAATATCCACAAACTTTGTGCAAACTATCCGCATCCTTAGTGATTGTAAAAGTAAGAAATCGCTTTGCGGCTTCACAATAATTTCGAGAAATTCGAAAATCAAGATGAAAAAGTTGACCCAATTTTATTTTGGGAAGTTTGCTAGGCAAAATTTCAGCCGCATTTAAATCTGCTAATTTTTCAAGTGAACCAATGTTCTCTTTAGCGGTTTGCTCAAAATTTAATTTTCCAACAAATTTTAGTGGCAAACATTTGCATGAAAAATCATTGAGTCCCTCAATTTCTTGGTTAATTCCAAAAATACAATTATGGACTTGGTATACCAAGTCACTGTCAGCAGATCTTCCATCTCCCAACTGATTAGCCGATTTATCACGAAGTGCTTTAAGTTTGTTTACAAGTTCTTGGATTCGGAGGGAACGCTCTCGAAATTCATTGCCTATTTCAGCAGTGTTCTTTTGTAAATCCTATTTTGCAATAAAAATGAACGCAACTCACTTGGATAAATATCGCTTTCCATTGTTCTAATTGCTTAACAAGATTAATAAAGTAGTGTCCGAGATCTTTTATTGTGTCCTCGCATGAATGAGCAAATTCAGCCAGGTCTTCACCACGTTTGGATATCGTATCTTCACTGCCCAAAATCTTTTCGTCTGCCAAACGAATAACTTCCTCAATAGCTTTTCTGGCATACTGTTGCTCTGTCATTTTGTACGTCCACTTTTCTAATAAAGTATGTAAATTTTACACTTAAATCTTCCCGGAATCATATAGGTCAATCAAAATTACTTCCGTTAGTAACATTCAATAAAAGGCTGATTATATTTCCTAAAATATTAAATTAAATTGCATGATGATTTACTTTTTTTTAATAACCTTGTAAATTCTTTTAATTTGATTTTTGAAGCAATAATGCAACCAGTTAAGAGTTGTCTGAACCATCGCTTAAGGTTGAATCATTTATTTCTTAGACTTTCATTTCGTATGAACGTGTATGATGAAGAGATTCAAAGGTCGATCAAACCAGAAGATGGCGGTTGAATCCCATTTTACTGCAGCCATTTGGCTTTTATACGACGTTGAGATTGACCTTCGAATCTCTTCTTCATGCACGTTCATACGAAATGAAAGTCCAAGCAATAATGTTATCTCAGGAGATTCATCGGACCACAGTTACTCTTCATATCTACAATAAATTATTTATGCACTTGCTAAGATATATCTTAAAGTTCCAAATAACTGATAATAATGTAATAGGCTATTATTCTTTTCTTTGTAAAATGCTAACGAGTAAGGGGTATGAGTGCGCTTTATCACATTTGGCAAGATTTTTAACCGACAAATA